AAACCCTGAACAGTATTATATAATATATATATATATCGTACAGAGTATGTAGTATATGGTAATCCAATGTAATCCAATGGAATGCAGTGAAGCTTGCTTGACACAATGGTGAGGAGGCCGTTGAAGTACGGCAGGACAGTATGTCTAGCCACGCAGGCGTAGTGCATGAGATGACGCAGAAAAAAAGAATAAAGGTGTCTCCGGCAAGGGGTGGCCCTCTACGAGGGCGGTACCGGTACTAAACAAAGGATGCGACTCTCAGCAAAGGTCCCTCAAAAGATGCCACTCGTAAGCAAAGCCTTAGCCAGGTGTGGCAAGCTGTCCAAGCAATTTCCCCTCCCTCCCGCCTGGCCATGTAGTCAAATCGCAAAGAACTATTTTTGGAGCTAGGCTAGGCAGACCGTCTGCAGTAAAAGAAAACATCCGTGCTTCATGCATGTATCACTTGCTCTAGATATGGACATGGACACTCGCACCGAACTCGGGCCAGCTGCTTGCTTTGAGCTTCAATCACCTCGGACGGAAGACGGGGCCATGCCCCCCATCGACAGGAGCCCCAAACACCCTCGCCTCGGTCGCGCTGGAATGGGCGAACGTGGTCCGTCCCCGTTCCGAAGCAGGCTGGACCGGTGGACTGGTGGCGACTGGTGGCGACTGGGATGACCATGATCCCCTCACTGAAACCTCTCGGTGCCGGTGCGGGCGGCACGCCCCCCCTCAAAGCTCTCCGCTCAAACCTCTCCCGCCTGAAGGAGGCTTTTGGCATCGCCCATGCAGCCATTCACGGAACAAATGTGCATGCCAGCCTGATTTCAGGTGTTGACAGAAGGAGATGGGATGCGCCGCATGTGGTCAGGCCTCTTCCAGTTCAGATGTTGGCCTAAAAGATATAAACAACGTTCTGCGAGAGCTTTCTAACCTTGCACCACCACAATGTCTCCGACGTCTGGAGTTTCATGGACCTGGCTTGGAAATCTGACGAGGATCGAGGTGGCCCCTTGATCACGTTCGTGCAAGCACATCTTCAATGGCACAAGCCCTCCTGGTCACTGGGTCACCTCTCAAGAAGAACGAAACACCCCCCCCCCAGCCGCCAACTCTAGTACTCCATAAGGTTGGTCCTTCAGCCCAGCGCTCGAGCAGCGAGCAGCGTGGCCTGTAGGCCACTGCGGCTCGCATTGGCTCCACATCTTCTCACATAGAGACCCACCTTCCGGGCGGCGAAGGCTGGTGGCGGCAGGTTTGGAGTTCTTTTTCTAAGGAAGGAAGACGATTCCTTGGGATTCATTGGGTATAGATCTGAATCACTCTTTCAATTTATTCAGTATTCCTTCTTTCAGTGTGAAGATGCTCGTAAGATTTGCTCCACACGAAAGATCCATAGAAAGCTCGCTTTCGCAGCTCAGCCCACCGGTTTCCGGTCTCACCTGGGTGGGCAGCAGGTCCATGTCCCAGGCCATCCCAGGAGTTTGTTGTAAGGACCTGAGCGAAGGAGGCCCATACAGCTCTGACCAAAAGCAGTTGGGCCAACAAGCGTCCTTCGTTCCAGCACATATCGACTCGCAGGTAGACTCGCGGCACAGCACAAAACTCGCTGCTTTTCCAGGCCGACATGGCCGACCAGACGATCCAAGAACTGGCAGCTATGGTTGATTAGCAGAGGATTCAACTGAAAAGGAATGGAAAAAAGAAAAACAGAGTCAATCAATCCAAACCAATAGATCTGGGCGTACAAACACACAAGTCAGACAAGGCCACGAAAGCGGGACAAAACCGTTTCTCTCGGACGATATCCAATGATTGGGAGAGAAAGAATAAAGTTGCAGTTGCAGTAAAAATGTAAAAGAATGTTCGTACCGTGATCGGGCTAGATAGCAAATAAGCCCGAGGGGTATGATGGCTGCCAACCGCAAGCTTTCATTGGGGTAGAAGCTAGTGTTTCACCTCACCCTGTAGTTGCAGAGTTCAATGTCCCCGTCCAGAAACGTATCAAGAAGATTTCCATAGTCCTACCGTTGCATTTCACAAGAAAGGCAACTTTTTCAAACCCCGTTGTTTAATGTCTGAGACGTCCAACTTCGCAGAGTGTGCCCCCCGTGTGCTGCACCCCGCAATGCGCTAGGAGCGCTGGCAAGGTTTCGAGAGAAGGTTGTGTGAAGCCTCAGCCATAGGCAGGTCAAGATAGAGGTTCCAAGCTGCTAACGAATGAATTGTCAACACAGTATGGTTTGCCGCAGAATGCTTCAGAATGAATGCAAAATGAAGCTAGGCATCTACTCTGCCTTTAACAAAAGGATCTTGGGGTTGGTCATGATCCGCGTTCAGGGCATCTCTGAATACACAAACTCAGAGCTTTTGTTCCATACGGATTGGGTTTAAGTGGTCCTAGAAGCTAAAATGTTCTTGTTCAAATGCTAATCCTTTCATCCTTTGCCTACGGCTTGGAGCTCTTGCCTATGTGTCCAGAACGCATGCGTTGTTCCATGAAACTTAGACCAAAGTGACTGCAACCCTCGACTGCTCTTCCGGCTGTAAAAATTCCTTTGGGCATCATCAGTTCAAAATCAAAAGGGAAACGAAGCTCAAAAAAAAATATATATATATATATCAAAAGAAGGCCTGTCCACTGACTTCTTGCACTTCTTTCTCGCGTGGCACCCAAGCCCCATGGGGCGCCCTGCCCAGTCTCAAGTGTCCCGTCGACTCCTTGAGGCGCTCAAGGAGCTTCTTCGTCTCCTGCTTCGAGGACCAAAACGTGGATCGAGTACGTCGAGTACGTCGAGTGAGCTTCGCCCACGTACCTTATTGGCCGCGGGACGCCCGAAAATGGACCACCACGGAGTGCGGGACACCCTCCGATTCCACCGGTCTTTGGGGGGGGTCGGATCTGCGATCTGCCGCTGTCGGGTCCTGCTCGACTCCGTCAAGGGATCTTAGCCCCAAGCCCGGCCGCAGCTGCCTGAGTCGAAGATCTGTCCGCCCAGCGCTAGTGCTGTGGCGGATAGGTGGATCGAGTTGAACACAAGGGTCAGCCCCTAGGTTCCAGCTCCCCAACAATCGCCCGTGATGCGATTCTTGGAACAAAGCAGGGAGTTGAAGAAATGACCCTATTCCCGCAGACAAGTCTTCCATGGCAGAGCCCCCTGGTCCATTTGTAAGACCACAGTGGATCTCTCACGCGCATGGCTGTGCGTAGCTTGACTAGCGAGACATCCCTGGCCCAATGGGCTTGATCGTCTATTCTTCCTCTTCGAGGATATATGTAAGAGCTCGCCCGAGTGAGGAGGTGCAGGGAACCGACAAAGAGCGTGTCATGTTCGCAAATTGGTCCTGTGTCGATACATCGACACGTTGAGCAGACAGGGACAGGATTTGCGAAAACGCCAGTCCACCCATGCACCGAGACGTCTACAAACGGAATAGACGTCTAGTGCTTATGAAAAGCAAAGAACAAACCTCACCAACTGCTGAGCTCCGTCCTGAGCTCCGCACATGGAGGCCTCAGCACGTTGGTTCCACTTGGCCGCCTGACCCTCTGAGGCCACCTGGAACACCACCGCGATCCTCGGGGCACGCTTGGGACGGTGGGTTGGGTCGGGCAAGGGTGCTCAAAGCCCCTAGTATTGAGATTGCCTAACCTAGGTAGGCTCTGTAGCTCTGTTGGGAATTCTTGTTTGGCCTCCAACCCAACAGCCAAACTGTATAAGACCTTTCTTCCTTTTCTGTGTCTTTGTTTCTACTAGCGATGTCCTCCACCTAGTGGCGATGGCCTCCAACCCAATGGCAAACTATAGAGACCTTCTAGCGATGGCCTCCACCTAGCAGCGATGACCTCCACCTAATAGCGATGGCCTGCACGCCTCCACCTAATTAACTGGTTTCAAGATTGCACAAGACTTGCCCTAAAATCTCAATGCACCTGCCTGCACTTGACTTTACAGGCTGTGGTCATGCTGGTTCAGAAGGGAAGCGCAACCACCAGGACGCACAAACATAATGCATGTACTGAAAATGTTCCAGGTGGCCTACCCTTTTCAGTTTTGCTATACTCATCATATGGTGGTGCACGTGTATGTGTCTCCAGAAACTTGCGGATCCCATGCACCCTAGCAAGACGAACAACCACCCAAATCATAAGCGAATCCAAGTAGCGTGGGATTGGTATGGTCGAAAACCAAGCCGAAGTGGTCCTCAGAGCATCTGATTCTCACGAGCATGTACGCACGATGGCTTGCGACACCAGGTTCTTGCTGGATCTTCGAGTGGGTGGTGCGCTGGGCCCTAGGGTTCATGAAAACCCTCCGAGAATTCCTTCTGAAAGATGGAGAGAACCAGGATCTTGAATTGAAAAAAGGGGAATTCTGTGTAAAAGCCCATGAGTTTCAACAAGTGTTCAAGCTCGTTCCAAGAAGTCAAGACCTCCAGTCCCAAAATGCGCAGATTCTGTTTAAGTCCTCCACCAACCATGCGGGGGTGACTGGCTCCCTGTTCTTCAAGGGAGTGGCAAGAGGTGCTCCCATCACCCGGACCACTCGCCGCGGCGCTCGTGCTCCCACCTGCACCCGCTCGTGCTCCCAGCTCGCTTCCCGTCCGCGCGACCCGTGACAAGTCCACCGAGAGGCGTTCTCCATCTTCCAGACCTGAACCGGTCCGAAAAGGCAGGAGACCAAGCGGTGGAAAGCAGGTCGGCAGTGCGGGGGTCCGGCACTGCCATCTGTCGAACCGGAGCAGTGGCAACTGGAAATCATATGAAAGCAAATCCAAAGACCCTTGTTTGGTGTAAAGCTGGTACTCTCCCAGGAACTAACATGAAAGTGGGAAAAAGGAAAAGGACAAACTGTTTGGGGAACGAGTTTCTATCTGCTCCCACTCCAGGCAATGTGCGTGACACCCAGAGAATGAACGAGTCCTGAATGGGATGATGTTGTTCGGAGATTCAAATCAACGTCATCTCAGCCGGGCCAATCCCCAACTTGTTCAATTTTTCTTGCGCAGTCGGCGCCACTTTTCAAGAAGCGAGGTGGCATTGGGTGACACACTGTCCTGCCGCAGAAAAGGAACGAAGTCTGCTTGTGTTTTGGACTCAAGTCGGCCAAACTGCGTCCCAGGCGATAGATGCCGAAAAAGACGTTCGAGGAAACATCGAAATCTCCTCGCACCAACTTCAAAATTCTAGCTTGAACACATGTGTGAACTTATTCCCCTTTTGTCTGCGCCCCCCAGTCTCCTTTTCAGGCACACTCACGCCTGCGGGCACGCGAGCATCATCGAGCATAAGAGGAAGGCTCCGATGATCCATGTGTTCGATGTCGTCCCAAGAACAGGATCCAGGTAGGAGCGATCGGACGCTACTAGGGTGGAGGCCATCGCTACTATCCAGAATCCGATCTCAAACCTTCCATCTGTGACGTCGGATAAGTGACAGTTTCAGAAGACTTCCGTTTCCATGCAAGAACTGGAGATATCTAGACTGACCCTGAAGGAAGGCCTATTCAAAAATGAATGTGTAGGACACACTGCGCACTGTGGGTCAAACTTCTGAAGTCAAAGGTGAGGTGGGTTGCTTTTCAATGGCAGAAGATTTCGCTGGGTATCTATCTGCCGACGGAGGATGTCCAAAGACTCCTGAAGAGGAACTAACCAGCTGACACCCAGCTTTCCCAGCTTCCAACTTGTGGTGTGCACATTAGAATTAATAAAACCAAATCTCATCGAAAACTAGAAAGCAAGTCATTTATGAAAGAAGATTCCTACACCAATTCCCTGCAAGTGCCAATGATCAAACATGCTTTGCCTACTGATTCCAGCCTGTCTAGGAAGGGTCTTCCTCGATTTTGTCGGATGCTGGCGGGATGCTTGTCTTAATCGCTCTGCAAGAACTAGAAACAAAGAAACGAAAAGAACACACAACTTTACCCGACGAGGTGCGAGCGGAATCCTCCCCCACCTCCTCGCAGGGGTCGCCCGTCTGCTGCAGGTTGGCCCAACGGCGCCGCATCTCCCCCTCCGGTCGGAGTAGATTTGGAAGCCCCACGGCCAAACAGGTTGGATTGATGTTCTTGCTGTCGGCTAGTAGTCCAAGTGAGATTCGTGAAGAACTCGCACCCCAAAAATAGAAACGCTATTGCTTGGAGCGGACCAAAAAGCAGGGACACGAAACGGTACAACCCGCTCAGAGCTTCTAGTTGCTTCCCAAGAGAGAGCAGTCCTCCGAGACGTAGTGGTCAAGCACCATCGACTGGCCGTCGGACTTTCCTGATGCAGATGATAGAACAACCCACGTGACGTTCGTGCAATTATTGAAAGAAGAACTCAGATCCCAATATGATCCCAATAAATCTTCCCAACAGAACAGCGTGCAAAATCTCTCCACGCCAAGAATCTGGAAGACCTGATGTCACACCCCAACTTCATGGGTTCGCTTCATGTTTTCCAATCTGCCACCTATGTTTTTTGGGAGTCATCCTCCAAATCAAGCCCAGACCAAGCGTCGGCAGGCATCACCCATGATGGACAAAGGCATGCTGATGTGCTCGTGTTCCACGGCCTCTCACCGGATCGCAGCTCAGCTAGAATTCAAGCGCAAAGAAGGGCATCGTTTGGGGGGGTCATTGCTATTTGGTTGCTATTAGGTTGGAGGCCATCGCTGTAGTTTCTTTGCAAGGCATCTTTTGAGGGACATCGATGTTTGCAAGAAGGCACCTCCACAGGTACATGTCTGCCTACCGCCAGGTATAAAGTCACAGAATTGTGATGGCGTCATTCTTCATCAAAGCTACAGGTCCTTCCTAAATAAAAGAAAGAAGAAAACGAGGAATGGACGTATGAATTCTTGGCTCCATCAAGAGGAGCATCGTCCAAAAATGTGGAACTCACGCCAACGGTGACCCATTGGGTGGGTCCTTCCTCCACACCGGCCTCCAGCCAAAAGCCGACCTCGGCGGTGCCGAAAAATGGGAGGTCGGCTTCAGAGAGTCAGAAGTCATCGCACCCCCTGAGGAATCTCCCGAGTGCCGGTCATCAATGAGTGGGTCGTATCAAAGGGGCACCACTCAAGGACATCCGGCACTATGAAAACCCGTTTTGGTTGGGGTCCCTTCGTATTGGGACAACCTCTGTGGACCCCATGCGCATTGACTAGGCTAAAAGCCCTATCTACCTTTCAAGCAGTGGCCGCTCAAACAGTGACCATCAGACTTTCACGCTGGAAAGGAAACCCAAGTAAGTTCGAAGCATCAGGTATGGGTTTTAAACCATTCTCAACATCTAAACCACCGCAACTTGAAGGGGAAACACCAAGCCTTAAGCATTCATTCAAGATAAGGCGCAGTCGCTTGTGTCACATGTCCGCCAGCTTGGAAGTAGAGGGGCAATACTTCGCACAGTATGATGATTCCGCAATTGACCCCGGTCAGCCTGGTGTTACACCAGGATCTTCCAATCCGCTGGGTTCCACTGGGTTCCGCTAAGGAGCTGAAACATCTTCCTGAGGTAAGTCTTGAAGCGTGGGAAGCTCCTGGGATTTGTGCGGAGGCGCCAAACACTGGAACCTTCACGGATTGGACGTGGATAAACGTGGAACTTACAGCCGTCTGCGAAGGATAGAACAGCAACAAAGGACACTTCTAAGGCGTTTAGCAAAGGACTGGCGCCCTTTCTTCGGCTACTCTTCTGTCAAATCCACTCTTTTTGGATAGGGAGTTCACTGCGGACAAGGCGAGTCTGCCAGCGCTTCGCTCCCCCTCATCCGACCCCATCCGCTAGCCCATCGACTGCACCGAAAGGCAGACTTGCATGGGGGCCAATTTGAAAAAAATCAAAAGTTCCGACCGGAGATCTGAGTCCTACAACCAAGGAGAAGGTGGCCATTTTCCTCTGAAATAAATCAATTGTTGCGGTTGAAGATGGTCATGCTGTTACGTCTTTGTGTCTTGTTGGGTCTTAGTCTTGTTCCTTGTTGTCTCCAAGGGTTTGGGGGCTCACTCTTTTCGCTGCCTCAACAGGATTACATCACATGAGGACTTGACTAGACTGGAGGAAACAAAGCGATTGCAATTCCAGGCTATCCACACCTTTGCAACAATGGGCATCAAAGGGCTTCGAGTAGGACTTTGCCCCTTGACATGCTGGGGACTACCAACACTGGGTCACGTTGCTTTCGCAAGAACCACGTATCTTGTCACTAGCTCACATGTCCCACCCCTCGTGCCAGCGGGAATTCTCATCCTCGGATTCGGATCTAGCGTCATCCTCCTGCCATGGACGTTTTCGAGCTCAAAACACAGTGTTCGATCATCCTGCAATCTCCAAGACATTCTTCGTGTAAAGAGACCAGTTCACTTCTTCAACACATGGCGATGTTGAGGTGCTGACGATGTGCTGTTGAGAGTGTTTCGAGAGGCGTGAGGTAGAAACACAGAATGTCCATTCGCAGAATCTCACCTCCGGTGCTAGCATGCTGATGTAGTTGCCTTAGATGCCACAGAGTTGCCGAAAGTGGAGGAGGCTGTTTAGAGCTTCTGCTTCCTCTGCTTCCTTACAAAGATGACCACTCTACCCATGCCACCGCCGAGCTGCACAAGTCCCGTGTCAGCAAATATCCGCAGCCCGGGCTATAGACTGGATAGGTCTCCTGGCCGGTAAGCTTCGTAAAGACCTCAGGTGGCGCCAACCTGCCGCCACTGCCAGATCGAAGCAGAAACGCCGAAGCGCATGGAATTTGTCGTTGAAAACATCTGAAAGGCCAAGGACCCAGTAGGTCAATGCAATGGACCCATAGATAGACTCCTAACAACCCTCGCTTCAGTGTGTTCTTTGCCGCCCAGGCGACGCCATCCGGGTTGCGTCCGCCGCCCTGGGGCCGTCCCTTGCGGCGGACCTCGCCCGCTTGGGCTGCACGCCTCGACCGGGCTGGGCTGGGCTGCACGGTCAGGTTCGGATAGAGAAGGAGAGTGACGCACCAGCGAAACATGTGAGGTTCCCTCTTGACCTATCACCTATCAAAAGGATATCGGACGCTTGGCTGCAGAACAAAACCCCCGTTCGAATGCCTTTACTGAAGCCCTTGTAACAAGTCTTAGGCCTCAGCCCCCTTCAAGGGGGCTGAGTCCGCCCCAATACACCTTGATTTCGCCCCTTCCAGCCTGGCGCCAAACAAGTCATGTTCCTCGGCGAAGTTCAGCAAACGATCTACAAAGATCCAGGAATCTGTATCCTCAGATGGATCAGCTCGGATGGATCAGCTCAGAGATGAAACAAGTTAGCTTCGTCCGAAACGACGATTCACTGGAATATGGGGTAGCAGCGTATTCCGCCAAAACCAGGGCACAGATGGAAAACTGCAGGAAATTTCCCCAGAGATCTGAGGTTGAAAAGGTGGGCCATGCCCCTCAGACGATCAAGCTTGTATGGTTTCCAAATGCCTGAACAGTGCTGGTGCCAAGCGTCAGCCTTCAACATGAGATGGAAGCTGTAGTGTTGTACAGCCTCAGGCTGCACTCTTGCAACACAACTCTCCGAAGTACCTTTGTCCACATGAAGATATGCACAACCTTCGACCAAAGTAGTTGTTGAAGTCAGCTTTGGCTCATCTGAAACGCCAATCTCACAAGACCATCTCTACTTCTCGGGCTAAATTGCCACAAGTCAAGGATTCTGAGGCTTTGAGTCCAACTCATCGTATTGGCTAGTTGAGTCATTTCCGCATCAGCTCACGTACCGCCTCGAAACCGCTCACGGTTTACTGCTGCCAGGGGTCGTAGTGGATCCCACCGCGCACCTTTTCAGCCAGTCGGTCATAGGCGCTGCTGCTGAGCGGAGGCGAGAAGGGGCGTAGGAGAGCGAGAACGGGAGCGACCATTCCATGGGATGTGGACCGGTTACAGAAGGTGCTCCTTTCCACCACCAGCGTGACAATCTGGCAAAGAAATGAGAACAATGCACTCCGGGCTTCCTGTACCCATGGGGACCTGGATCAGTTGGTTTACGAGAAAGGGGGATCGTCAATCCCAGAACGGCGGGGCGGAGCGCCGTTGCTTTGATCAGTTGGAACATCGGTTCAAGAGCTCAGGTTTCTGTTGTGCAGGCTCTTCGCTTCGAGCCAACAGGAGGAAAACCTGGCCAACTGTTCAACAGCTCCTCAAAACCCACAGCAAATGCCTGGGCAACGCCACCACGTCTGCAGCCTGCATCTCCTTGCAGAATCCAGGGAGGAGCCAGCCCCATAGGATTCACCCTGGGTAAGTCCAAGCGATCTCATGGGCACCAAACTGTGCATAACTTTGGCGATACATCGCTCAAACCCCGAAGACCCTAGCTTCAGTCATGTTTGAGTGGTGGAACTTACCCATCCAATCCATGTACCTTACCCTGCCTCAAACTGTCAGCCAAGCAAAGCCAAAGCCATCGCGTCGAACTCCGGTTTTCACGGAACGGCAACGTCACGTCTGTGAGCCCCGCTTCTCTCTCTCTCTCTCTCTCTCAAAAGGGTTGGAGGCCATCGCTACCATCTCTATTAGGCTCTCGCTCTCGCTCTCTCTCTCTCTCTCTCTCTCACATGTCATCCACCACCTGGCCCGACCTCACTGTCCGGGTCGGCTTCATCTCCAAGCAGGAAGAGGTACTTCAGCGTCCGGTTGCTCCGGCACCTCCGGGTGTTCTAAGAGAACCCAGAAATGCCCAAAACAACTGAATTCTCCAAACGGAGATTCATGAGATTTGTTCGGCTGATCCCTCCGTAACCTGCAAACCGGGATCCTCTAGCTGCTAGCATTCCAGCATTAATTCCAGCATTAAAGGAAAAAAACAAACATCTTTTGATGCGTCCTCCTGCTCCCAGGTTTGTTTCGGCACCCCTCAGTTTGGACAAATCCTTTATTTAAAGCACCGACCCTCTGAAGGTCCATTTACAGTTGTTTCCCTTCTGTCTGGCCGCACACATTTGGGCCTTCCTTTGACGAACTCTTGTCCACAAAGCCAAGACCGAGTTGTGTTTGGAGTGCGTGCTGTCCTAAGACCGCCTAGACCTCTAACTTTCAGCAAAACCAAGTTCCTTCAGAAACTGGACCTACCAAGAAAAGGAATAACAACATCTCCCATGAGCCCGCCCTACCGCGGACCGGTGGACCGTTTCGCCGAGACGCCCGTGCCTGGCACAGAAATGGGTCGTCGTATCAATATCTCGCGTCCAGGTCTCCCGGATCGCGCTCAGCCGTGCCCGGTCACGGCGCAGGCTCGCGGGGATCAAAATCAACAGGTCATAATGCCTGGCGCGTGGGAGGATGAACCCATCAGTTCGACTTGTGAAGACATTGAAATTGCCTTCCACTGATCCATTGAAATTGCCTTCCACTGATCCACCAGGTTGAAACACGAGATCGCGGCGATCTAGTTTCTCCCCACAACCTGGTGTTTCAAACCTGGTGCTTGCAGGGCTACCCCCACTCCGAAATGTGCACAAGGGACCTTGATCCTCATGTACCCCCCTTGCTCTTGAAAATCTTTCAGCAGCCAAGGCACTCAAGTTCATCTTCATGGATCAAGGATGCATTGGCTGCTTCTCTCCCTGGTCACATCAAACTCTGGACTCTTGCTGCGACGAACGAAGCTCAGCTTAAGCTGACAAAAAGAGCAAGTTTCCCGAAGAACATAAGGTGCACCTGGCCTTCCCCTTTCAGCATATTCCTGGACAGCAAATGGTATCTATCCCATGTATCTTCTTGACGTCAAGTAGATTAGCTCAACATTGAACAACATCTGATTATATATATAATAATCATCCTCTCCCGAGTTTATTCCCTGAGCTGCGTTGCAACTATCTGCCAGGGCACGGAGAAGCTTCTGCCGCTTGCTATGCGGCCTGGAACAACACTGAACAGTCAGTGTACCCTACTTTTGATAAATGAACCTCAAGAAGTGTAGGGATCTGAAAAGGAAGGGATCACGGCAGCGAAGAAATGAACTCTTCGTTCTGTCAACCCCTCAAAAGGCTGGTGGTGTTATGATTTCAGTTTGTGCTACCTCGTGGCTTTTGAGAGCAAGTGCTACCCAGGCCGCTACCCGGGTAGCAAGTCACTGCCTGAAAGCTTCGATCTTCCCGGAACTGTCAAGTGAAACCTGCAGGCGGATTGGTGTTGTAGATGCTGAGCGTTTCCTCTGTCTCAAAGGCTTTGGGCTTGAAGCAGCGTTTCCAAAGATGCCAATTTATTCAAGAATACTACGTTTCAAATTCAAAGTGGCTGGCAGGCCCAACCAAGGAAACACCGGTACTCACAAAAGGACATGATCTTGATGGGCTCCAAACATGGGAGAGATTGTCAAAACGGTCTGCCTCACCATGTGCTCAGCAGAATGACTCCAGCTCCAAGTTGCCAAAGCAGTTGGGCCCTAGATACTTGTCAAAAGTTGCACAAATGCCTAAATGGCCGTGTCTATCAAATTTCAACACAGCTTGCTTGAGTCAAGAGCAGTGAACCACGGAAACAACTGCCTTTTCTTGGTGGGAACCTTCTCCCACACGACGCAGTCGGTTCGCGCTTCAGACTGCCGCGAGCAGCCAGCCTGTACGATGGACGAAGAAACCGTCCAGAGCCTTGGAGCACCGGAGCACATCGTGCGCATCGCGTCGTTGACGTTAGTAACAATGTTTGCTATTAGATTTAAAATTAATAGCTTCTTGTTACTACTAGTAAGGCACTTGTTCCTAGTAGCGTGGCACTTGTTTCTACTAGCTTCTTGTTACTAGTAGCGTAGGAGGTGTTGTACCACAAATGAAGGCGACCAATGAGTCGAGAAACAGGCTCTGGACGAGGAGGCCTGATCTAAACATCACGCGCGGCCATGGGACAACGGGGGCAAGGCTTTTGCATCCGAGACCTGGCAAAATCATCCGAGACCTGGCAAACATTAGGAGAATCCACCAAACCAAGCATTGACTGGAAGTCTTCATGTGTTCGCGAGGTCATCGGCCTCGGCAGTCGATTTCAAGTCATCGCAGCAAGTCATGTGAGCATGTCAAGGCAAAACCCACCATGTCATGTTGCCCATCCCCCGCAACTGACCGGACTGAGCCGCTGCTGCAAGCAGATCGATGAACGGTCACAGACCCATTGGTGCTCATGGCTAGGCTTTCCTAAACAGATTGCCATGTTCAGTGAGAGGAAAAGCGGTCTCTGAGCATGCCTTCTTTTTGAAGGCATACTGCATACATATACGACATTTGCCGGAACAGTCGAGTCAGTCATGCAGCCACCCCGTCCATTCAAGACACAGTTGAGGAGAAAAAATAGTTGAGTCTGAAAGCTGGAAGCTCTCAACGAACTTGGAATGGGAAGCCTCAGAAGATCTTCAGGCATCTTGTAAACACCAGCTGATTGGGTCTATAGATGTTTCTCAGTGAAACCCTCGCGGCTTCACCCAGTGTTTTGGGGCCCTCGCAGCTTCACCCCGACCTTCCACACAGATTGTGCCCAATCAATAGTATTTAGTCCAAACTCTAAAGCCAACCCACAAACTGTCTGTTCTCCCATCCACAATCAAGCCAGTTCATCGATCGTTTCTATGCCCCCACCCGGGTGGGCACCTCAATCTCAAAATCTTTGTGCTCCACATCACACGCCTGGCGTTCGATGCCCACGGGACGAAGTTGGACGATGTCCCCGCGTCATGATGGCCTTGTCATGACACGTCACCATACTCCCAATGGAAACCCCACAACCAGCTGCTACGTGATTCACAGGACCAAATCCACAGGACCAAATCCTTGATTCCTCCCAAATCCAGCTTGTATCAAGAAGGTCTCACGAGCTTTCAATTTGCGCTGATCCAACCCACAGGGTTATCACGAGCAGGTCCAGGTAGCCTTTCCATGGTTTGTCCCAGTTTCAGGATCATCCCTGGCCTCGTGGAAGATGCTATCCTGACCGAAGAGTTGTCTCTGCTCCTGCCCAAAAGAACCGAGTCGTCCGAGTTCGTGCCCTTTTTTGCGGTCGTGTTCGCTCGAACTTCTGGAGGGAGGGTGGATGGGCATACAAGGACTGAGACAACTTGCGGAAGAACCACTGCCAGACTGTGAGTCCAAGATGTGGAGGATAAAATCACATCCTCGTATTCAGCTTTGTGTTGTCAAGCTTCCCAGATTGGTACATCAAAGGTTCGCCTCAAGCAGAAGAAACTCAAGAACCACTGCTTCGCTTCACCTGGTTGATGGTGTAGGCGGCGACTTCTGCATCCCCTTCCACCTGAGCACAGTGCGCGCCGCTTATTTAGAATCCCCCAAGCTGAACGGCACAGAGCTCCCCTGGCGTCCTTGACACGGAGAAAGGAGATCAGACGGCTTCCAACACTGTTCAAGTGAGAGTTGATAATCACCTTGGCTTGTCATGATTTCTCATGCAAGTTTCTGCTTGCCAAGCTAGCATGTCCGTTCATTCTGTAGGTGATGAGGAATCTTAAATGGTCCTCCCTGAACCAATCAAGGACCTTTACAGCAAAATACTCCTTTTCTTGCTCCCAATCTTCTGGCAGCAAAGGGTTGCACAACACTTCAATCCCAGCTGGACCACTCTGCAACGGCCCCACTTGGACCTGCCTCCCAGCGACAGCAGCAGAACCTTGAGGCTCAGAGTGCCGGCAAAGCACGAGACAAAAGGACTCCGCTTTAAACGGTTGACACAGAGCCAAGTGCTTTGTAGGACCCCTGCACAAGTGCTCTGCACATTCATATTTCAGGATGGTTGGACATCGGAAAGGCGAAGCGCATATGTATACCCCTAGCAACCACCAGCTATCCATCAAGCAAACCTTTTCAAAACCTGACCAGCTTCCAAAAGCGGGTGGTTGCCCTGGTGGCCCGAATCCAGGTGTGGAATCCAAGACAAAAGGCCTCACTGCCACCTGCACATCTGTGTTCCACTTGGCCAAGGTGCATCTGCAGGCATCAAGAGGCATTTTGGGCCAAAAGCTCTGGAAAAGTCAAAAGCATTGAAGAATGGCTTAGGGGCTCCATCGCTATTAAGGTTGGAGACCATCTTCTAGGTTGAGGGCCATCGCTACTAGGTTTTCTTCACAGGTTCTTAAACAAGAGTTCTAGGTGTTTAGACTCTTATGGCTCGCATGGCTCTAGGTAGCTCAAATCAAGCCTGGAAGTCTCCACCTACCGCGTTGCACATGGATCGAAAGCGACTTTCGGACACCGAGCACTGGTGACCGGAGCTTTGACGGTTCCAATGACAAGGGGATGCTCTCTCCGTGCAGATTCTGAAGGACTTCCAGCGCCCATGTATTCAAAAAAAGAGCCAAGGCATGTCTTAAACACAGTCCACGCACCTTTTCAGATCTCGCCAAGTCCACTTACAGTTGCAAAAGTTCAGGAGCTGCTGGGCAAAAAGCCCAAGCAAAAGGAGCTAGATTGGTAAGAGTTTCCACACTTGGACAAATTTTATGATCCTGTATCTGGCACAATCAGCGTTAGAAAGAAACCAGGAGAATGTTGCTCCTTTTGCAACTCTTTGGCGTCCAGCTCCGGCAACTGCACTACCACACCCCATGGCCCACCTCTGAGGACGGCGGGTCTACATTGGAGGGCCATTCAATTCGAAGGTCGACCCGATGCAAACATACATGCCGATCAGCCCCGCAGTCGCCAAAGCGAAGCTCTTAGGTTCTGACAAGATGTCCTGGCCATGATACGGTTGAACCCACCGGACGGATGCGTGTAGAAAACTCAGCTCTGACTACTCTAGGTTTGCCAGTGAAGAAACGCTCATGAGCAAGGACTTGTTGTGCTCAGCTTCTGGGCTGCCACACCGGAGGGGTGCCAGTGCTAGTCGTATGCACAGAACACAAGAGAAAAGGTTGGCAACCAAATCTTGACACCGTCTCATGGGCAAGCAACCTGACAATATACCAAAAATGAATTTGCATCTTGTATAATGATCTAGTCTCAGAGGAGACTAAGGATTGTCAGCACTTTATTCCAAAAAGGGGAACTGCTTTCTTAGTTGAATCTGTTCATTCGTTTCGAACCCAGATTGCTTGTTTGGGATTTGGAGGCAACGGTCCAACACGCTGTTGCACGTCCCAAACACCGGAGACTCGTCTCCTCCAGCTTGTCGTGGCCGATGGCCAACAATCCAGTCCAGCCAGCCTGAGAAAAGCCGCCCAGCTGCCCACAAAGAAGGACCATTCCCAAATGCATTGCAAAGGCCATGCACCAGAACAGCGTGCCGAAGCGTTTGCCTAGGTTGAAAGGGATAGCTCTTGAAAGGTGCCGGCATTGAGGATGACCCTGACCAATAGCCTTTGGCCTCACTGATTCTATTTTCATTCCGGGCTGTTTTTGTTGTCCGCGAACACAGTTTCATGCTTGCACAGGCCGGAGAATTCTCCCACTTCCTGAAAGCCTCGTGGGAAGGATGTCCTTGTTCTAAACCGCCAACCTCAACAATATAGAAGCTACTAGATGCTCTTAGTAGCAAGGGCATTACTATTAGTAGCAAGAAGCTAGTAGGTTGGAGGCCATCGCTACTAGGGTGGAGGCCATTGCTACTAGGAACAAGAAGCTACTATAATATAGTAATATTTATATATATATACAGTAATACATCCCTCGTGTCTCGGCACCCAGGATCGGTGTGCGGAGACCAAGGATCTGCGTGAGCTGTTCAACCCTAGCAAACAAACAGCTTGCAGTTTAAATCCTGCTTTCCAAGGATCTCCAAAGACCCAAGCTGATGCTAATCTCCAATACAATGATCCCGATTGCCATCAGGTGTGCGGACACTTGCTGCGAGTGCTTGCTGTGGATGATGGACTTGTAGATCCAACTCAGGGGAGAAAGTTCCCAAATATGAATGTCCTCGACTAGTCGAACTGCAAGTTCCACCCCGCGTAGAATACAAAGATGAGATTCATCTCTATCTTTCTTCCCAAAGGTAGGTTGCTGAGACAAAAGAACACTCTTGGATCACATCTGAGACTTGTGCCGGAGCCGTGCAGCTGAGGCCTAGCAAGACACCACACGAGAACATCAGCGAGAACATCCACCACCCCGTCCACCACACCTCAGTCCTTGTACAAGCTGCCCCCTCCACTCGCCAGCCACTCGCTCTGCACCTTGAAGATCGCAGCAAAGAAGTACAAGAGGCTCACATGTAGACGGAAAAGGGATCGCGCCCACAAGTGATCTCCAGCATCTGCAAACATCCCGTAGGCCCCCCGGCCGTGGGCGCGTTTAGTGGAGGTTCGACGTTTGGCGTGAGGTTTGGTGTGCCAGGTTAGACTGAGAACCGATCTCAGCATCTTTGACATTTGTCTAAAGTGGCAGATCCTAGGCGAAGCTGTAGTTTCTGCCACCAATGACTCACAGTGGTTGACACAGATCCTTCAGGTGAAGGCTGTCAGTCAAGACCATAGATGCTCTTTGGATATCTTTGGATCATATTATTCATTACTCTAACTAGAACCTGGAGAGCTTTCTTTGTGGGCAGGAATGGGATGGCAAGCACATCTTCCATCTATACCACTTCGATTCGAAAGTAGCTGGGGATGTCGGCGTGACATGAGCACAAAGTGGGTCCATGGGTCCCCCACCTCCCAGCCATGAGCGACTGGTGGGGAACTTCTGCCGCAAGTAGGAGCTCAAGCTATAGGAGGCATCGCACGGCGTGAAAGACAAGATCAACAACCTCCAGCTGCACACTTCGAACAAAAAAATAGAGGAACCCTTCGGTCGACGACCCGTCCACTGGCCTCACTGGCTTGTTTTCATGGAGAGGAGGTTCCGAACGGCAACGTGCGAGTCCCAAAAAGGAAACAACCCCTCTGGCAAACACCCAAGCAGCAGCATGCCCACGTGCTGAGTGGGGCAATCAGGATCAAAGCTCCTTCTTGTGTTGGCCAAGCAAAAGCCTCCCGCGTCAGAACCATACAGCACACGTAGGACGGCTATGGAAAACCGTTCGTTGTGGTCTTCAAAGTTCTGACGACATGTCTCGATGGTCGTGCTGTCTCGATTCATCGCAAAAAGGTGAATACAGCTGCCC